ACTTGTTTCTTGGTAGAAAAACTGGTTTGATGACTTTTTCGGCCTATGGAGGAAAAACTAGGGGTACTAACCTGTTCGCAGCTCACAACTGTGTGGAACTCAGGGAGTGATAGGCTCCAAACAACTTGCCGGTGCCCTGTGGGGAATGAAGGACTAACCTGCGGATTCCCTTGAAGGAAACCATAGGGGATGGTTTCTCGGGGGTCCTTCCAACCTCATTTTTGGCCGAGCAAGTTGTGGTGGAGCTCAGGGACTGAGCCACTGCCCAGGGTTTGGGCAGTTCCATGAGCAGCCACAAACGCAAACAGTGCAAAATGCAAACCAGGGCTCCCTGTCCGCTCAACAAATCGTGGAAGAGGCAAACTGCAGGAGGCCTCGAACCCTCCCCGCTCTCCGGGCTGCGTCGGGCTCCGTCGGGCTCCCCGGCGCCGGCTTGGACCGCAGCCCCCGAGCTGGCGCTCCAGTCCTTCACCGGCCCCGCCTTCACCTCTCGTGAAAACCGAAAGGCGCACGCGGTTGGATGCCCCAAACATTGCAAGCGAAAACCCAAGTGGTAGCAATACTCGGTTGCCAAAATCTGCTCTGCTAAAAGTTGAAGACTTTTAGTGGTTTAATGCGGAAAACCCATCCTAACATCCAAGCAAAATCCCAAACGGTGTGTTGGCTAGGTCCTTCAGTTTTGGAGGTCAGAATAAGTTGGTGCCCGATGGTTTTCTGTGGCCTGTTCTAGTAGGGGAACCCTCCCCCACAAAAGGGTAAAAGGGCACTACTGGGGGACCTGGGTAGCAATATACTTTACTTTGTTGCAGCCTCCTACTAACATGAACAGAACCACACAAAAAACAAGCAAATGCACACACTGGCCAAGGCAGTGAAGTATTGCAAGCGAAACCCTGGGTAAGTTCCCATTTCTGGTTGGTTTACTTGCAATATGTTGTTTGGCATCCACGAAAAACTAAGGAGCCATCGAGAGTGCACTCGTTTACCCAAGCTTGACGCTAGCATTGTCACTTCCTGAGTGGATTGTCCCACAAAGTAACCAAACTACGTACCACTAGAATGGTTTTCCCAAACAGTGACCAAAGAATTTGACCGAACCTCAATTTACAGGGATTCTTCCTTTGGGTGTGTGTTTTAACATCGGCGAACCCGACAAATGGGTAGTTTGCTGTTGGTTCCCCTTTAAACACCGACCAAAAAGGGATCCCCTGCCCCAATTTAGCGCCCAAAGGTTTTTGCCCCATCAAGCTAACGATTGGCCTTTGGGGCCTGGCCCGGCCATTGCACAGCAGAGTCACATCAAGCGACAGGGATGGTTTGGTTTCTGGACAAACGTTAGAAGAAACCATCATGGTTAGGGTCCCCCCCGCATATCAAACATTTATATGATGCATCCCGGTCTATCAGTTGTGCTCGCACCTCAAGTGCACAACTGAGCATTTTGGCTCACTTCCTGAGTGGACTGGCTAAACAAGGTAACCATTTTTTTTGTCTACCAATAACATGCCCCAAACCCAAAAACATCAAGTCAACTCAGGGAGTGAGTTGGAAGTCAGGAGAAAAACTAGGGATGGCGCAGTTCCAAGGTCACTCCAACTAATTCCCTGATCAGCAAGTTGAAGGGGGGCGCATCACGATGCTGCTCCCATTCAGAGCCATCGCAGCAGTTGATAGTCTTTCGTGGCCCTGAAAAAACATATCTGCAATGCGAGTTCACCAGCAAAACATGTTATACACCAGGCTGCCACAGTTCCCTTGCTATGACTCCAAATCACAGTTACAGCCTCTGAGCACCACCAAGCGTGGAGATACACCTGTGCTCATATGGCTCACACAACCCCCGCACTGCCATGCAGGCAGGACGCACATAGTCGGCATTTGAGTTTGTATGTAGGTATAACACATGCATGCATGAATGTATGTGGATGGAACAGCAGCCTATGCATACTGAGAACACGCACATAACAACTGGTGCCTGTGGTTTCTGTTCAGTTTCATAATTCCTTTCCATGTGTTTCCCGGTCGTGGGAACTCGCTTGTGTTTGGGTTCCCTTAGGCAAAATCCCAGTGTTACTAATTTGGAGGCTTTCCTCGTGCCTTTAAATCCCCGACGGTAACTCCAAAAACACCACGTCGACAAAACCCCCGATGCCAGCTGCCTGCTTTACGATGAGCCCAACCTCGGAAAAAGCAGAGGATGCTCATTTCGAGGCATGCCCACAGCCACGGGGGAAACTATATGCGGTTCCCGGAATGGACATGGAAACTCGGCAAGTTTCAAGTGAGTCCCAAGTAATTACCAAATTAGCCATAGACTTCTAAACAGTTACAGGGGACTTTGCCAAACTCAGCGGTCTGTGGGGCAATCTTTGCTTGGGCGTATCGTGCTCCGGAGAAGACCGCCTGTTTTTGAACCATGATACTGTTTCGCCCAGCAAAACGAGTACCTGTTCTTGGCTTCCCTTTGGGTTGCTTTAGCATGGGCTATTTAGCACCCTACAAACTTTAGCTTGGCTTACCGCTTCAGCACTGCGGAAACTGATGCACGTTTCGGTTGTCTGATTTTCTCTTTTGTTGAGTTGGTACCTCTTGGTGGTCTGTTTCAAAGGAACACCAAAAGGAAAATCACCATTTTGGAGGGGCCCAACCTTGACAAAAAGACATTTGAAAGGGAACCCTTGCCCCAAAAAACAGCGAAAGGGTGCGAGTGGGCCACTAGGCTAGGGTCTGCTGGCTGAAACACGTGCCCAGCCCCGACAACCACATGTCGGCCAAGAAGCGCTGGTGTCTGCGTAGTCGATGTCCATGCCCATGAGCCTTGCGATTTGTCGTTTCCACGGACTGTTGAAAAAGGCGATCTGGAAAAAACATGCAGTTGGGGGAAAGTAGATGGCACAATTGACCAATGTTGGTTTTGTCATTCCCTTGAATTTTATCCGCATAGGGAGTTGTGGGGTGCGTTCCTGTTTTCTTTCGCTATTCATACATGCATAGTTTTTTTTTTGGCATCCAATTTATCCAACATCTCCAAAGGATTTGATGACCATGCTGATTCTCAAGAGCGATCCCATTAAGCACATTGCCATCCTACCAGACCAAAGGTTCACCGTCACGTCCTTCGCGGCTTTACCTTGGGCCCATCAAGTCACCCAAGGGTCGTTCAAAAAGAAAGGGAGCCCATCTTCCCTGGTGAGCCTGAGTTTTCCCTTCGGACATGGTCAAGGGTCCAAAGAACCCCTTTCCGAACAAACATCATGCGTGATTTGTCAAACATCCCTGCGTTCCTGGCTCGCTTGGAAACTCCGCCCTGTGATACCCATCCCTCTTCACCCACATCTCAGCTTCTCACTTGGCTTAGAGGTGTTCTGTACCCTCAAGAACTAGAACTTCAAATCCAGATCCAAACAACCCACTGAGAAGTAATTACCTGAAAACTAGGTGGCTGCCTGTTTGGAGGCTACCACCCCAATCCAAATCACCCCTAAAAACCTGAAAAATCCCCCGGGGCCTACCCTCTTTGAGCCTTTCAGACCGAGGCATTTGGATGGCGCGCGCGGCTCCCGCCTGCCGCCTTGACCCACCGGCACTTTCAGCTCCTGGCTCCGAGGAAGCCCCATGTGCTTCGTCTGGAAAGAACGGAACTGCTTTGTTGTTTCGATTTGTGTTTTTTTGCTTTTTTTTTTTTTGGGGGGGGGGGGGGGGTTGGGGCTGGGAGAGGCATGGTTGTGGAAACATGGCTCTGCCTTTTTTCAGGGGAGCCCCGCAAATGGCGTTTCTCCATTTGGGTTCCCTTTCACACAGATAGGGTACCCTCAAAAAATGGACAAACGCGAATATGTCCAGTAGCATAGATTCCCGAACAGCGGAAAATTAAGCATATCCATAAGCATGTGGAAAGGGTGAAACATTGGTCGGACTGAAAGTGTTGTAGTTCTCCAGCACATATATATATATATATATATGTCATATGATATACAAGTATACAACAAGTCAGTACACAAAGGGAGTAGCAGGGAAGTCCGTGAGTGTTAACATAAGGGGGGCCCAATGCTTTCTTCCGGCAGTTTTGAACCCAAACCCCAAATCCATGCTTGCGCTTGCTGTTCAGCCACAAATACACCTGGGTGCATTGCAATAACGATTCCAAGCGAGAACAAACATCTTTGGACCCCTTGTGTGTTGCTTTAAAGAGAAACCAAAAGGTAACCGAAGCTACTTTGGAGGGCCCCAACAAAAGACACGCCCATTTCGGTCGCAACCAAAGACCTCGAAAGCCGGGCCTTGGGATGCTGAACCGTCAGCGTCACCTACGAGAGGCCACCGCGGCTTAGCTGTGGAGCAACTTGTTTCATTTCCCGGGCTGTCGGTTTTCTGATCCCCGGCTAAAAGTGAATAGCTTCAAGTGGGTCTAATACAGAAACTACCACCAAACCAACTAAAAACCTTCAAATCTAAGCAACCGGATGGCAGGGAACCGCCAAGTTTCGTACCCCCTTTTCCAGTCATGGAGGACAGGAAGGTTCCCCAAAAGTTGGAAAGAGGCTAGTTGTTGTTTGGATCAACGCTTGTTGCTTCCTTTGCTGGTTTGAGGGGGCAACCAACAAAGGAAAGCAAACAAGAGTGCCGTTGGAGCAGGGATGGTAGCTGGTTTTACATGTACAGCACAGAAAGCAAGGGTAATCAATAAAGAAAAGGCAAGCCAAGCAAAAGAGAAAAGAAACCATACTGGTGGAGAGAATATCGGGGTGCCACTCCAAAGCCTGGCGAGGTCACAGCGACGGAGCACACACATCACTAATGGGACCAGGGCAGGAAGAAAGCCTTGTGACCAGAATTGAGCACCAAATCTGGGCATTGTCATCTTTTTGTCGTGATGTTATTTTCAAAATCGCAAAAACTAACTGAATCCCCAAGTAAGGGACCTTCACCATAGGGCTCGTTTCACACCCGAAACGGACAAACGGGTGGGAAGCAGCGCGCCTTTTGCCCCATTCTTCCACTTCGCTCGCGCCCTCGCTCGCACATTTCGCTCAGCCCAGGTCGCCGCTTTGGAACTCCAGGTCGCTCCCTTGGTGCCTTCGAGGTTCGCCCAGCAGGTTGCGGAGGCTGGCATGGCTGCGTAGACCACGAAATGCGCCATGTGAACGCTGGAAGGTACGGCCCTGTGATTCGATTCGCGCGCATGAGTCAACTGCAGCTCGGGGTTGCTTCAGCTCGTTGCCAGACGCAAATCATCTGGATGATGCAACGGAGTCCACCTGGTGTCCAAAGAAAGGCAAATGGGTCCAGAAGGAGTTTTGAAGGCAAACCAAAAGGAAGTCAAGTGGTGCCAAAAGTTGCAAAGGCCCTGTTTTGGGATTCATGTTTGGTAAGACTCTGCACAACGGCTGTGCCGTTTGGTTTTCTTGCACCACTAGGAAATTCAAGTGGACCCCAACATGTCCAAAAAAGAACGCCAACCCAAAGGAGCCCGGGACCCCCACAAGGAACAAAACATGGCGTTGTTGCGTTGGTTGCACAACTCAGGGTTCTGACCTTTCGGACGCAAATTCGTGTTGCGCGTCTCGAAAGAGAACCCTGCCAGTGGTCTCCTTTTTGGTTCCCTTTCAAAAGGGGTTCCCCCCATTTCTTACTTGAGAGGCTTGCCAAACAAAGCCGAACTGTTCGTTTGCCACCAAAACGGTTTTCGGAACTCAGGGAGTGGGACTGATGGACAACGCCCAGCTGGTGGTTTATCCACCATCCTAATCGGGTTTCATCCATCCCAGCTGGTGCCTGGCGAGGATTTGCTCCATCCAGAGTATGCCTATGTCTCAGAATGCTTGAAACCGCTTTTTTCAGGGGGGTAAAGGGAAACCACCAGGAAACCAACCATGTGTTGAAGGCATGTCCGGCCTGAGATGCGCTCCTGGGCCAAAGCAATGGTTGTCCGGAGCGAGGCACCATCGCCGCTGCGGCTTCCGAGCCGGACGCCTGACGTCTCGGAAGACCCGACAGGGCATGCATGGCTCGTCTTTTTTTTAGGGGAACACTGTTTGGGTTGTCAAAGGGAAACTCAAGGAAAAGAGGCAACCATGGACCATGGTACCTAGTTTTTAAGACACACCATGAGGAAACTGGGTTGGACTGGTGCTGGGAATTTGGGCCATGTCTAAAAGACCGCATCTCATATTTCCCTAAAGAACCAAACTCACTTAAAGTGGCAAACCAAAAGGTGTTGTTTGTTTTCATCTATCCTTCAGAACCTTGACTACAAATCGGCCAGGGATAATCGAAAGGTTGCACCAACCCATCCAAGGAACACATTGATGGCGCAAAAAGTAAACTCAGTTGGGGCAAAATGGGTGAAACAAACAGCAACTCATTTGGGGCTGAGCAACTCAAATCATTTGGACGGAACGCACCGGTTGTACACTGAAGCCGAAACAGCACCTTTGTGAGGGCGGATCTTTTTTGAGGATACCGCCCCCCCCCCCCCCCCGTTTTCTGTGGTTTCAAAGGAAAACCCAAAGGAGAACCACCATTTTGGAAGGGCCCCCCAAAAAAAACACAATAGGAGCCCCCTTTTGTTTCCCAGGACCCCTGAAAAAAGGCACACCCATAACCTAAGAAGCCTCGTACCCGGAGTGGTTTTTGCCACCGGCCTCGGCCTCGGCGTCCGTGCTCTCAGTGGCTGAACTGGAAGCGGTGGAAAGGGAGTCGCTGATTTCGCAGGCCCTGACCAGCTCCTCCGCCTGTGGGTGGGTCTGGGTGGGTCTGGGTCTGGGTGGGTGGGGTGGGGTGGGGGTGGTGGGGTGGGTGGGGTGGGTCTGGGTGGGTCTGGGTGGGGTGGGGGTGGGTCTGGTGGTGGGGTGGGGGTGGGTCTGGTGGTGGGGTGGGGGTGGGTTTCTGGTGGTGGGGTGGGGGTGGGTCTGGTGGTGGGGTGGGTGGGTGGGGTGGGTGGGTGGGGTGCGGGTGGGCTGCTTCTTCTTGGAAATCATCTTGTGTTGACCCGGATTCATAAACCAGAGGGTGTTCCTCCAAAAGTGATGAATCCCGACTAAAAGGGGACAGCCCGCTATTAAGCAACCAGGGACTTCTTGATCTGGGGTCAACATTATCTGGGGAGAGTGCAGATTCATCTGAAGTTAACATTTCATAAGGGCTTGTTAGCCGGATTCCCCTATGAAAACTGGATCGCTATATCATCATGCCCTACTCTTTTGCCTGGCTAGAGCTTGTCTTCAAGGGAGGAGACCTACAGCTGGAATTCTTTTGCAACCGTCGCGCCCCTCGAACGGCGCCGAAAGGTAACCAACAATTTACCGACTCGAAACAGTGGCGGTGAACCAGGGGCAAACAAACATGAGAGTAGCAAGCTCCCCTTCCAACTTTATGACTTAAACTCACTTCCCGAGTGGATGGCCAAAAAAAAGGTAACGACTTGTTGTTTTCCACTTAACTGGCTTTCCCAAACAGTTTAAAGTCCATGAACTGAGAAAGTGAGTAAAGGAACATCCAAACCACATGGGCTCCCTTCGAAGCAACAGCAAATCCTGACAAAGTGAAACAAACACACATCCTCTCAAGGGGTCGGAAGTAAACCAAACCACGTGTTGGTGGCAGGGTAAAACTTTCCAAAGGACAAACCGTCTTCGTTGCACCAAATTGTCTGGTGGGAAGAAATTCAGAACCACACATCACACACATTGGCCAACACCCGAATTGATCAGTTGCCCATAACTGGTTTGTCTTCCTTTGGGAAAATGAAAAGCACATTCCCTCGTTTGCTTTTCTTTTGGAAAATGGACAAACACGCATTGGCAAACAACCTTCTGGTTGTTCCCCGTTTGCTTTTGTCTTTTAAACACATTGGCTGCAACATGTCGCTACGCCCAACACATGAAAAGCAGGACCTCGGAGAAAAGCGGGGGTTCTGTAGCTGGATCCCACTCGCCAAGTGGTCCACATTTCTTGCTCAAACCGCCCCTCATAAAGGGCTGCGCTTATGGTTTCCTCGTTTGCTTTTTGACTACGTCGGTCCAAGGAAGCACTGCGCGCTACCTGGCCATGGGTCAAAATCCCTTCCCCCCAGTCAGTGAACATCCCAATCCCCACTAAAATAGGTTCCAAAATGGGTGGTGAATTCACCTACCCCAAAATGGGATCCCAAAACGGGTTTTGACAACCACAGCCATTTGTGTGTGGTTCCTTGTTCTTGGTTCCCAACATCAAATCCAAACCAGTTTTGACCACCACAGCCACCTGGCCACCGTCGGTTTTTGGCGTGCGAGTCCGCCTGATTCGGCTCCTCCAAGAGCTCACGCAGGGCTTGCCAGCTGCCGCTCTGCGCCAACAGGATGGCCTCCTCCGACCGGTCTTAAAGACTGGTACCGAAACCAGACTCATGGGGCTGGGGAGGGGAGGGGGGGGAGGGGGAGGGAGGGGGAGGGAGGGGGAGGGGAGGGAGGGGGAGGGGAGGGAGGGGGAGCGGAGGGGAGGGGGAGGAAGCCCCTGATCAAGCCCTTGTTTAAGGCCTCAAAAATGCCTTGCTTAGGGCTCCCCCGCCCCCCCCCCTCCCCCCCCTCCCCCCCAGCCCCCATAACATACTATGCGTGGACGAAATCCGTTCGCACCTCTTTGAAACCAGGGTTGAAACTTCCATTGCTTGTTGCGGTATTTACAGGATAATCATCATTCCAGGGTTTCTTAGGTGAACTTGAGCACCCTCAACAAAACGTGTTGAGTTGGGCGTGTCTTTCTGCTTGGTTCCAATGTAAGAGGTAGGTTGCGGTCGCCCGGAATTGCTTCAACCACCATGTATCGAATACAGTGGGGTGAAAGTAGACGGCACAAATACTTATTCCTCATCCCGCTAACGTGGCACCTGACAGCGGAAATTGATCTTCGAGGTACCCTCCCACAAATGCGACTTGTTTGTGGGAAAAAAGGATATCTCATTTCGTTTTTGGCCAACCCGTTTTTCTTACCCACGTAAACTGGGCTGTCCTCAGACCCCTTGCTCTTTTCCCGACGGACACCGCTTAACTTTTGGTGGGTTAAACACGGAAACCGCGACTAGACCAGCTCAAAACCTAAGCCTCAGGAAACGGATGGCTGGGAGCCGAGGAAAGTACAACATGTGCTGGGACCTCCAGTTGCTGGTAGAAGGCAATAGAGCTGCTGCAGAAGACGTCGTACCAGGTGCGCCGGAAACCTGAGAGAACTTCATGAAGGTTACAAGAAACCCCCGCCAAAAGGATGTAAAACAATGGGTGTGTATTGGTTTCCGTCTGGACCAACTTTGGATGGGGACCCTGAAATCAAAACAAACGCACACATACACATGAACACACAGAAACACACATAAACACAAACACCCACCTACCCAACCACCCCGCCCGTCCTTCCCTTTTCTTTGCTTCCTTCCTTCTTAGAAGCTAGCCATGTTTCCATCTAGCTATCATGCGCCCATCCATCCATCCATCCATGGCGCACAGAGTCCCTGTGGAACGCAGCCCATGCAATGAGCCGGGAGCTCCAACCTGCAACTGGACGATTGGTACCTGCATCACCTGAAATGATGCCAACGGAAAACTCACCTGTAAATGGGGCTTAGTGTTGCTTTTTCCCCTGCGTCGGCTTGTAGTTTTGTAGTGTTCCGTCAGCCTTAGCTCGAGAGTCGCAACTTTTCAGCACAAGTGTAGTACGCGAAGTATGCTTGGCAGCCCGGCTCGAAAGTCGCGACTGTTCAGCGCATACAAAGTACACTTTGGCAACTCCAGCTCAAGCGTAGTGTTGGTGTGGCAAACAAACTACGCGTTCGCAGTGCCGGCTCGAAAGTCGCAACTGTTCAGTACACATGTGTTACGCAACATGCGTTTTGGCACCTCCAGGGCAACAGGCTATCGGTTGGGCATCGGTTTGGGCCCTGTACATGTCTGATTCCGCTACCTTTGTTTGCGATGTGTCTTCATGTCGTCTACGGATATTGTCTTGTCCTCAGCACCGGTTTAGAGGCAAGCTCAGGGACGGGCCCTTACATAACGAAAAGGCGCGGGGATTCTCTTTCGACCCATCTTGGTTGAACAATCACCCAGCAAGCGTACAGTTGTCCATCCCACCCCGTGAATTTGCAACTAGAAAACATTCCAATTTCTGCCTTAGTTTGACATGTCAGGTGAAAACACCCCCATTTTCTTTGTTTCGCTTTGGCTTCCCTTTAACACAGCCCCCATTTCCTGGTACAAACAAAGGACGCGGAAACTTTTGTTTTCTCGGCTTCCCTTCAACGCACCCTTTTGAGGGTAAATGCGGGTCAGTCTTTTGGACTTCTCTTTCTGTGGATAAAAAATAGGATAACCCACCTCTTGTGAAGGTACCCTGAAAGATATGGGTGTGGGTGAACAGTAGGTACCTAAAATGAAAAAACATGGACTAAAACCTGGGGTCCCCTGGTGCTTCAATCTTGACCCAAACCCACACTCCACAAAAAGAACACACCCAATTAACGCAAGACACGGAGGTGCTGGAAGGCATCCGTGTGGTAGTCGAAGCGGGGATGCCAGCTTGGCAGGAGGGCGTAGGCGCTGGCAATAGTGACCAACGTGGAATCGGCGCCATAATACAGAAAAGCCTGAAACGGATAGCCAGTTGAATGAGGTGGGCACTGGGGAGCCATGTCTTCTTGGGATTTGGATTTGCTTGGGGATTTGAACGTCTGGAGACAAGCCAAGCCCAAACCGCCAATCCAAACTGGGCGACACCCACCGGGCGGGGAACTTAAAGCGGCCACTGGGAACAACCTCGCCGGTTCCTTTGGGTTTTTAGTTCTTCACAACCCTTGAGGCGGCAGCAACAACTGTGTTTCTTGCAGCCCCCCTTTTAAACATGAACAGAACCAACAAACACAAAATGCAAAACACTTGCCAAGAACTGCGAAGAGAATTGTTTTTGAGTGGGGCCCCAGCTTCTCCTCGACCCCCCCGGAAAACTCGGGAGCCTGGAGCAGGTCGACGAAAGCCCTGGTTCTCAAGGTGGTCCCCGAGACGTAGGCCGCGCAGGCCATGCAGCTCAAGGGGGACATCAGCAAAAGAATCACCAAACCTTTCCCGACGGATGGTTGAGACGAAACGACCCCCGCTCAATGGTTCGCTACCGAAAATGTTTCTTGGTATTTTTACACCATGGTTTATGAAACTATGGGAGAGAACCGGCCCATAAGGTTTCTTGTCATCAGAAACCAGGGGTTCCTAGGTGGTGCGAAATGGCTTTCGTCCATCCACATTATGGTAGCAAAAATAACAAAGAATTGAATGAACAGAATTATCTTAATATAAACATCACCAAACAGTTTATTTTTTTTTAAAAAAGACAACACCAGCGAAGGAACACCGGTAGAAGCTGTTGCGCTCGAAGTCCCACTTGCCTAGCGATCTTCAGGCAAAGGCTCTGCACATCGGTGGCTCGTTGGTTTGGAGATGGTAAAACCAAAAGGACACCGGCCATGTTGGGGGAGTCCCTGACAAAGACACACCCCACAGAATCTGTAAAAGTTGGACTTTGCTGAAGGAAACCCAACAGGCGAATTCTCGCGACCGCGAACTCCCCAAATCGCTAGCAAGGAAAGCAACGGCAGACCAGTCTGTTGGCTCAAGCAAAACGATTGGGGGAATTGATGCCGATCTTCTCAACCCGGCGAGTGTTAGCAAACACTGTGTTCTTGAGCCAAACAAAAATGAATACCAACAAAACCACAAGACTTAAACACACCGGCTCGTCGTTTCTTCATTGTACCCACTTTTGAAGGTGGCTTTAAAGGGGAGCCAAAAAACACCACCATTTAGACCATTTAGACCATTTATGTATTTATTCAGTTGTTTCCTTTTGGGGGGGGGCCCTAAAAGAACACACACCCACATGCCAACAACAATCAAGTTGGTGCGTCTTGTTTCGAGGGTACGCTTATTAAGGGAGACCAACAGGCCGCAGCCCACGTTGGGTGCATTTGTCCGGATCACAGTTCGTAGTTTCAAACGTGATTCATATTGTTGGATTCCGTTTGGGTACAAAGATCGATGCTATTCTGCAGAAATCTTTGACTTGGCAAATCCCAAACTTTTGAGGGGTACCTTGTGTTTACGGAGAAACCAGGGATGTTCCGGCAAACAAACACAAGATCGCCAAGCTCCACAGGAAAATTCTCGGAAGTTCGGCAAATGTCTGGGGATTTGGTGGATATAGGAAGTCAACTCTTCGGGCTTTGAATGGCACCCATTTCTTTGGGCGACATGTGAATCACGAATCTGGGCTATTTAGCGCGCAGATTTGCTGAAGCACCTGTCACCAAAAACATCTAGTGATAGATTCGCTTTCAAACCAAAAGGACGCCACACAAGTTCTGAACCTCAAATGGATCCTCTCCAGGGGTGTCCCCCCCCCCCGGCACTTTGCCTGCCAGATACTTCCCGGTGCGCAAGTCTGCGCCGCGGGAGAGAAGCACTGCGAGCATGCTGCCGAAGACCAGGACGAAGCACAGGAGCAGGCAGCTGTAATTGGCCACCCCCAGAACCTTGGGGAAGTGGTTGGATAAACCCCGAGTGATCCCACAGCCCAGTGTCAGCAATCGCTGGGGTCTGCCTCCAGTTTGGTGACACTGGGCTCCCTCCCCAAAATTGCTCTATTACCAGGTGCCTGGAAAAAAATCCGCAAATCCGCACACCCCTCCGTCAAGAAACCGCCGCATGACGCTCGCGCAACTTTTACCCATGGAGTTCCCCTTTTCGGTCAATCAGCCAACAACTGATCCTTTTGCGCGCCCCGCACAAGTTGTTTTCCCCGTCCGATGGGCCAAACCTGGCCATTGAGCTGTGGTGAAACCAGCTCGGGCCGTTTCTGCGGGCTGAAATTGTGTCCTCCAAGAGGCGCATCAGCTCAGAGGTGTCTCAAAAAACAGGTGGACCCAGAGCCTGTGGTTTGAGCCACCCAAAAAATGGGCCCTTTTGAGAAACCCCTCAGCAAAAACCTCGGCGCGACCCCCAGATTCCCTGATTTGTTTCGGTTTGCACCCCAACCCAAGCAGATCCTTGGTGCTATCGGTTTTCCTTTGAAGCCATCTGAGTTCTCGCGCTCTCTGTTCTATCCACGTGTCAGCAACAAACCGAAGGAACACCAAATTCCAAATGTCTACCCGTGTGCTTTGACTATAGAGACTCGGAGTAACCCTGCGGATTACGGGGTGGTTCTTTTCACTGGAGACTACCAGTGACTTTCGAGAACTGTCCGAAGGGCCGTCAGGGTTCTTTTGGCGTTTCTTTGCCATCGCGTACAAACAAAATGCTTCAACACAGGCTTGGCGCTTTCCCATCGGACTCTGTGACTGAAATGCAACCTCAACTGAACGGCACATGTAGTTCACATGACACATCATATCTTGGCGAGTTTTGACAACAAGCGATCAAAGCTTGTGAGGCACACCCAGACTCAACACAGGCCAGCAGGAAAAAAAAAAAAACAACAACTAAAAAACACCGGGCCCCCCATACTTTGGCGACTCACGCCCCATCGAGATGGGCTAACAAAACAAGCAAACTTATGTTTGCCACTAAGATGCTCCAAACCCCAAAGTGAGGAAAGGCAACACAAGCAACCACAGCTCTGGTGCAGGCTTCCCCATGTTTATCCAACCTAACCTAACCGCCAAGGAAACTTCCCATAGGCTGCAAAAGGTGTTCTTTCCCATCGTTGGGATGGTAGCCAAAACGCTTTTTTACCAGCGCACTACTAAACATGAGCAGAATCAAAGCACAAAAAAGACACCAACAAAACACCTGCCGACAACAGTGAAGTGATTGAAAAAGCAAAAAGGACAATTCAAGAGCCCTGACTTCCATTTGCTTAAGTCCCCTGACAAAATAGAGGACATATGTCCACTGGCCATATATTTTTCCTTTAGAACAAAGACTGACAGATTTCTTCATGTTCTTAGGCAAATTAATGAAGGTGCGTTGTAGTTGTCGAACTCCACGCAGATCCCCCGGAAGTTCAAATCCAAAGACCAGCTGGCGACATTCACGTCATTCTGCAGGCAAAAGACCTCACGGCCCTTTCTCCGGGTAGTCGGGTACGTTCCCAGTTCCCTCCCCTAGAAATTAACGAAAGGAACCCAAAAGGGGGGCCCATTTCCCAAGGAGTTTCCCCTCTACAAAAGGCTTTTGGGGTATCAACGTGGACTATCCACCCTCAGACCTAAAAGTGGCGGATACCCGCACCGATTTCTCGCTGAGACCTGCTAGCCTTCACTTCTGTGTTGGTCCCGAGAGACGTAAGACAGGACATGACTTTTGGTGTTTACTCCCCAGATTCACAAGGAACCCCAAAAGCCAGCCTTTTTTAGAGGAAACTCCTTTTGGGAAATGGATCCGCCCTTTTGGGTGCCTTTCGTTAGCTGGGGAGGGAGCAACTGGGAACGGATCCAACTCAAACCCGCGAGAAAGGGTGCCCTTGATCAAATCCAAGCCCCCACAAAACCAGCAGAACGCATCGACAAACTTCCATTTTTGCTTACGCCCACTGGGAAAAAACAACCAGCAGTCCTAGATTCCCCTTAAAATCAAAACAAGAAAATCACAAACATATTCTTAAGCACATGGAAGCAAAGAAAAGACAACACACAGCAACAACTGGAAAAAGAGCTTTGGATGCCTCGCAGGCACATACTCCCCCAGATTGTCCACACCTCTCCGCGGCAGCGAGTCGCCAATGCCCGGGAATAGCAAGGCCTGCAGGGTCCAACGCGCATCTTTTTTGCGGGTGCCGAGCTGGGCAAAATGCGAGCTGAAACCACCGACCCTCAAAGGGAAACCCAAAGGAGGTGCTTTAAACAGTGGTTCAAACAAATGACCAATCCTGGTTTCAAGGCCTGACGTGCATACAGTGTGATTTTCCCCTATTAGGAAGCAAATGTTCTATCTTAGACGGTTCCTCTGTTTAGAACAGTCCTCCGGAATTTATCCGAAGTCAACATTAGGATCTACTCCCCGCCAAAACTGCGCCCTCCACCTGTTTCCCCCAAACCGCAACAGGGCTTCATTGGAGGAAAGGGGGAGGGGATAGATTGCATTCATTGCAAATAGGAGACAGTGAAACTTGTTGGTTTCCTTTCGGTTTGCCTTGCAAACCCAGGGGCCCCTCAAGAAGGCATCCACCCATGTTTAGGGAACCGGGTTCAGTCCACGAGGAAAGCAGGATTCCCTACGGGACCCATACCAAATATCAGGCAACCTAGAAAGGTCATAAATCACTCTCCCATGTGGCCATGGGTCAAAATCCCGTACCCCCAGTGAACATCCCAATCCCCACTAAAATACACTAAAATGGGTGGTGCACCTACCCCAAAATGGTATCCCATTGGTTTTGACCCACGGCCATATCTTTCGTAGGACACCAAGTTGCGCCGGAACAGCCCGAATATCTCAAAGGCACGGACACATGCAAATCCCGTGATTCTATGAAAACCAAAGGAAGCCGTTCACCCATTTTCTACCCCTCTCAGTCTGTCGGCTGGGGCACCCTGAACCTGCCAAGTCATTCTAAACGGGATCCCTTGACGAAGAAGACACCTCACAATAAATGCCTGGCTTTGGGGAAAAACAACCTAGAAACAGCCACACATCTCAGCTCCACCTCTATCCATTCCCTGCCTTGTTCTCCAGGTCGATCTCCACATACCACCTGGCTTCACATCCCCTGGGGGGTTGACTGGCTACTCTTCGGCTTAGGGATGGTTTTCAATGCGTCTTGTCATTTTCGGGAAGCACGTGACAAAACAGAAACTGCAACCAAGCCGAGGTATGGCTGAAACACGTGTTTTTTGCGTTCGCCGAAGAAACAACGGCAAAGACAAACAACACGCATGCCATCAAAGCAGTGCTAGTATCCCTATCTTTTTTCCCGGACCCATAATCTCCCAATACCTAGTCAAAATTAGCCAAAGCCAGCAAGTTTCCCACCAGCCCAGCTCCAGTGGCAGGGGACACTTTAGAACCAATGCCAAACCAATGCAAAACAAATACCTTTCAATATACAAGTTCGACGGATTGTTGGGGGCCCGAAAAGGGCGGATCCACCCTACTTGGGCCCTCGAGGACCCCGTGTTTTTGTACTCGGACCCCAGCCGCAATGTCATTCCAGGCGGATATTTTGACTCAGGGGTGGGGCCCGGCGGGTTTTTAGGGAAGGGGATTCAACATTGTCCTTTTTGGGAAAATAGATGGTAGTTGATTGAACCACCAAGTAAACCAGGGCCCTCTATTTTTCAACCAAATCAACCAAAAAGGACACCTATGGATTCAAGCTTCCCTTGAGCTTCCTGCGTGGGCCCTGGGCTCTCTCTGTTCCCAACGCGCCGGGTCACAGCATCAGATAGGTCGTCATGGAGGTGATGAGGCTGTTGTAGCCGAACCAAAAGATCCAAAGCGGCAGCCACTCGAACGCGATCATGTGGATCCTTCAGAGCTGGGCTGCCCTCAGACCCCCGCTCAACGTGAACAACTTTTAGTGGTTTAAATGAAAATTACCATTTAAACACTAAACGGCTAAAAAGCTAACGGGATGGCTGGGAGCCACCAAGAGAGGGAAACCCCGATGTTTTTGCGTTTTTTTTAATCGGGAGGATCCTCAACCGAAGAGAGCTAATGAAACTTCACAGAATCACACGGAAGATACGATGGATCCAAACAAGGATACTCGGGTTTCTGGAGGTTGGGATCGATCCATATGTGCTTGCCTGATTTTTCTCATCTAACACCATGCTCACGTGATGGACAAACAACATAAGAAGAGTGACTCAGCATTTCACCAATTGGTGGATTGGATAGGTTTGGAGGTTCAGGGAGTGGTTTCCTATTTATCCTTTATAACGACCAGGGGTTGCAATCCCAAACGAACAATCCACACCACCAGCTAAGGGGAACCTGAGTGACAACAAACGCACTGACAAAAACAAACGAGCAATAACAAACAAAAGCAGCAACTTATTACGACAAGGAACACGACAAAGCAAAAACTGTAAAATACCAGAGATTCTGGCCATGGCTCATCGTAGCCAAGAGAGGCACCCGCTCTACGGAACAAGGCATCGTGCCTTGGCATGTGGGAGCCTTTTCCGTCCGCTTCTATGACTCAGTTGCCCAAATGGAAATGACTGGAATGGCGCCACCAAAAATGCACCAAGTCAGGGAAACCAAAAGCTTGAAGGATCGGCTTTGGGCATAGAAGATATTCTTCCGTCCCCTTCTATTGGGTAAACCCCAAACACCAACCCAAACCACCAATTGACGCTTCCCCGAGATTGGCTTCAATGGAAATCGCGGAACAGGCCACCATGGCCACCAACAGCCCCGGAACCCGGGGGTTCGTGCGAAAGCTGCTCGTCACCAGCGCCTATTTGGGCAGAGACCCAAAAGCTTTCAGCTGTGGGGGGAAAAAGCGGTCAAGTCTGGCAAAGACAGGGGTCATTGGATTCAGTTGATCAACTTGCTGGTGGTTTCCCTTGAAATGACTGAAAGCGCCTGCCACCCTTCCAATGTCGCGCTGCGCGGCCGCCTCTGCTCAACGTTGCTGCTGTCCGTTGCTTCGTGCAGATGCCATTGACATGACGGACTCAGTTCGGCGCTCCCCATGGATTTTGCGGGACATTTGGGTCGCACGGTCAACTCGGAAGATGAAGGGTTGCCGATCCTGCTTCGTCCAGCTCCGCTTGGGAACCAACGGGCCCATTTCTTTGCTATTGTAACAAAAGGAAACCACAAAAGTCTTCTCCCGGACAAGGAATGGCTCCATGCCCTGCAAGGAGGTAAAGGACCGCAACTGCACAGCCCAGCTCACGCGCAGGGCCCGCTCACGAGCCAAAACGTGCCGGTCGCCGGTCGCGCAAAGCGAGTGCCCAGGTTAACATGGGCAAATTTAAATGGGCGCTTCTTAGAGTCGAAGCTTTTCTTCGGAACAAATTGAGGGAATGATCCTACACCATCCAACTGGTGGTTTCCTTTAAGGGGACCCCCAGGTTCATTCCCTTATTCCCTGAGCACCAGCAAAAAATATAAAAAGGCCTTCCAGAAAGTCGGGAAGTGAGTCAACTGAGTGCTTCCTAAAGCGGGTGGCTCCAAACTAGTTGGACCCCTCCTGATGGCATTTCGGTTGGGTCTGCCTGTAAACACAAAGGGGGTGCTGCATGTTGGAACAGAGGGTCCCCGTGGCTTTGCGCTGGGGAAGTCAGCACCTCCGTTAGTGCCGGAGGGTGCTATCAACAAATCGCATCTCCTCTTCAGCAAATGCAAGATCATGTATTCTGAACGCATGGCCGCAGTAATAACCCCGGCAACGTACAAACAAGCGCACTTGGAGTCAAAGAGTTGCAGCTTGCGAACTCTAAGACTCCGAGAGCTCAGGGAACGAACCACGGCAACTCTCATGTGTCTGCTCTCCAACTTTGCCTGCGTCGCTTTCGGTCATCAGCTTGCATTTGAACCAAATCTACTTTGTTACGCCCCAAGGTGCATCTCGCTAATTCCAATAAGTGGTTTGGGCACAATGGAGTTGGGTGAACATTGATGGCACCCACATCTGCTGGGAATGCCATCTTTCACATCCTCACTTGGAGTGCCTGAACTGATGGAAGAAAACTCCTATTGACCTCTTGCCCGAGCACTTTATCCTGTGGCAACACCAATTCCCCTGGGGGGCGTCAATTGCAACTCGACGTTGATTCCACCCATCCTCTCCCTTAACCGCCCCTGTGACCCTGGTAGAACAAGAAGTTCTCGGAGACCATTTCAAAAGGGCAACCCATCCAAACCAAAGAGAAAATTGCTGCCACTGAACTGGGGTCCTAAGTAGGGGGCTCTGGAAAAATGCTCATCCCCTTTGGTTTCCCCTTGCGAAACTAAGCGCTGTGGGCTATACTATTTTGGATTTCTGTCAAAATAGGTGGAAAGTTGAAAAAGGATTTTGCGGCCAACAGGGTGCTGGAGGTGATTAAAAACCCAGTGGATACCAGTCTTTGCAGGTGACCAGCTTTTGTGCCTTTGGTGGTTCCCTTGGTTACTTATACAGGTGAACGGATTCCACTGGGTGTACCCCCCCCCGTCGCAAGAAAACAAAAAAACACTAATGTGGCACCTCACACACAGGGGGTCCTTGCAAGAGGAGACTGATCTTCCAGATACCCTCCCAGAGCGCTGCCACGCTGGGAGGAAGGGCTAAGGCCACTAAGCCCAAAAAAGCGAGGCTAACAGGGTCCTCGCCTTGCGCGTTGCGCATCCAAATTGATTTCGCTCCTCGACGCGAAATGCGCCGAAAAAAAGATCGAAGCCGATCCGACTTCGATCGCGCCTTGTCCGCCTTCTTCACCGCCTCGAAGAGCGACTCCGAGGATCCGGTGGTGCCGTTCACCGCCATGATGCAGTCCCCCACCTCGCGCGGCCCGCGAAAAGGAAACAACAACCGGGGGCGAACAGGTCGAGAGAAACACGGGAATATTCGGAATGACTCTCTCACGTCTCGGGGAAACAACAGAAATACGCTTGCTTAAACACAAATACAGCTTAATCAAACTTCTTGCTGGTTGAAACATGAAGGACACCCCTTGGCAAAGGGGCTAAGCCCTGGCCGAAGCCCAACTTGGTGTCAATTTGCGTGGTTCCGGCGCCCGGTCAGGCTGAAACCACCTGGATCCACCCTCAAGTCCCAAAACCACACCAAACCCAAGCCCAATCAAACCAAAAGAAGAGCCTTGCAATGTTTGGCTCTACCTCTAGTCTTGAGCGTTCCTTTTGGGCTCTGGACAAAAAGCAAAACCCCAAGAACCACCTTTCGGTGCCTTTAGGGAACTAAAGAACTCAATAGGATTGATCAGTCAGCCCCTGGTCGATTTGAGGCGATGTCCAATCCAGCGGATCCCTTGCTTCCGGTTGAATCATCCGACGTCGACAGTAGGGTTGAGCCAACCCTTTGATCCCATGGAACTTTGAAGAACTTGTGCCAGCGCCTTTCACCTGCGCCCAAAACGGAGATGTTCAACACCCACCAAAAACATGTTGCCAGAAGGCAGGAAAAAAACAGGCAGTCTCCAAGAGAACGAGCTGGAGAGACAAATATGTTGTTTGGCCCGGTGGACGCATCCAGACTCTCCGCGGCAAAACAATCGGCACATTTCGGCGCCTGCAAAAGCTTGTCCGGGTTCTTGGTGTTCCACTCCGCCACCGCGCCCCCATTCACTGAAAGTACCAGGCACCGGTCCTCGGGGAAAACAAACATTTAAAAACAAACATTAAAAGTACATAAAAATCGAGCCCTAGCATAATTTTCGCCCACTGTGTCAACCCAGTAAGATAGAATCCTTGTAGCGAAGGGGACAAATAAACATCTTCTGACATGACCATGGAATGCACTTGTGTGTGTGTGTGTGTTTTAACTGGACCCTCTGGTGGACATCCTTTAGGAGAAAAAACACAATATGACCACCAAGCGCTTGGGCGGGGCTCATCATCAAAATTCATAGCCAACCCTTTTTTGGCTGAGATGTGCAACCCTTGCAATCGGTTGCGGCTTCTAACCTCTTGAGTTCCCCTTAAGAGGCATCGCTAATACAATTGGCTCGCAGGGAGCTCAGAATAGATCCAAAGGCGCACGATTTCCTGTGTCCAAAACAAAGCCTGCAGGGCACACACACACACATGCGCGCGCAAATATCGGACACGTGCTTCCGCACAAATGCCAATGTCAATTCAATCCCCGCGTTTCCGAAAAAGGGAGAAACAACCATATCATAGGAAGTCGAGTCGATTGGCACTTGAAAGAAAACAACTGCCATTATCTTCCAACATCCTTCTGTCAGCTATGGACTTACATGGCAGTTGGCGTGACTGAGACAGCCTCCAAAACCTTTCTGGAACTTCACCCGGCAAGTGACAGCCATGCATGTGACATGGAGAGGTGTGAGCCAGCGCCATAAAGACACTTGACAGCCAGTAAAAACCTCTGCCAGGAAAAACACTGTACTCAAACACAAATGGTAAGGCCGCCTCGCATAAACTCTTAACCGGGCTTTGTTTGAGTGGAACTCATTTGTCAGAAAATTGTTTGATGGCGTGAATTTTACAATCGCAACAGGCCCAAATACGACGTGGAACCCATTGATGAACCACGAAATTACCATCTTTTTGGAGGCAAAGGCAAGAACCTCTTCAGTGAGGGTGTCTACAAAGCTGGTTGCAACAAGGGGAATGTTTGTGTCCACCAACATGGGCCAAAGAATCTAGGTAGTACCATTTAGAGGACTCCCTTTGTCGCATCTATGTTCACCACCCATTCAGGGCGTTGAAACCCACACACGATCCCGGCACGCCTTGACGTCAGGAGTTACACGATCCTGCAGGCAGAGGAAACTCTATTCAAATTGCAACTGAAAGGTCTTGTCTAAAACAAGGCGAGGGGATGCAGCAAACAAAGTGAACCTGAGAATGTGAATGAACTTCAAGCAAAGATCCCGGAAAACAAGACACAGATCCAAATGGGACACCTGAAATGCTTTCTTTGGACCTCCCTTTGCAACCATCAAGCGTCTATAAGCTGGACGCTCAAGGGTACCACTGTTTTGGAAATTCCATTTGCCCCATAATTCTTGCATAATTATGGGTGAATTCTCTTATATCTCTTGAAACCAAGCAAACAAGGGCTCGAACCCAACTATGCCCGACCCGGATCTCTTCTCGCGCGGATCACGCCTTTACTTCATAGTCCAAGGACAGCCCAAAGCTGCCGCTGCCTGACACCGACACAGGATCCGGATACGAGCACACCACAAAGGCCATGGGGTGGGTGTAGAGGGAAACAAAAGGAAAAAACCGAAACCATTTTTTTTTTTGGGGGGGGTGCCTCTATTTTGAAAAATTCCGGTATGCGGTGTTTCGTGTGTGTGTGTGGCTGCCAAACTCCAAATAAGCTAAGGACCTCCAAGAGCCCCAGTGTGTGTCTCTGGAATCTGCCTGGACCCCTCTTTTTGTTGAGCAAGAGTGGGCACCCCAATGGATTTCGGTGGTATTCCTCCAAACAGGGCGTCTTGAACAAAAGCATGACTCGCAGCTTGTCCCTGTTTTCGAGCCGAATCTGTGTGGAGGTGTTTCGGGCTCGCTCAGTGTCCCAATTACCCACAAGGACCACCAAGTGGTTCATGTTTCCCATCTCTCTAGAAGAACCACAAGTTCAAATCCAAATCAACCCAAACTACTGAGTTGGGGGTTGATTCAACTTGATTGTATGTCACACCCTGGGGCCCTGGATAATCAGCCTGGAAGTGGGTAACCAGTCCAACGGCTTCCGCCTTTGTCCAGCTCCACCGTGAAGGGGCCGTCCTGGAGGGCGAAGTCAAGGCACGTTGGGGCTCTTGCGTTGCCGGTTTCTGGGTGGGGGGGGTTCTGAAAGTCAGCAAATGGGGCTGTTTCATTGTGTCCTTTTAAACTGACTTTGATCCTGAAAAAATAGAGCAATACCATGCAGTTCTGGGGGGGGATGGGGGTGGGGGGTTGGGCACTTGCTGCTGCTTTTTTATTTGGGGGTACCCCTCATGTGTTCATGAACACATTTGGGTTCCATGATGAAGGTTCCTTCCTTGATGGTCATTCTCTATTGGGTGTGAGTGTTCATTGCGGACCATT